ATGGAATAATAAATTTTAAATTAAAATCATCTTTTAAACTATTAAACAAAATATATATCTTTTTACTAATTCTTTTTTCCTTTTTCATTTTTATGTAGTGTGTTTACACATTTTTAGATATTTCCCTTTCCTTTTATTTTTCCTTTCCCCTTTTGTAGTTTCTCGAATTCAGTTCTTTGAAGGATAATAAGTAGTGACAATCTGCTAGCAATGATGGATAATTTAGGAGAATCTTCACCCAAAACTTAGTTCAGAGCGAAATATTGTCCCCAAGATTGCACTTAGAGGCTGAAGCTCTTTTGAGAATTGAAAGCCATTGACGAGTGTGTCAATATAAGATTTTAGTTTAGCCATAATGCAATTGTCCTATGTATCTCAATCGGTTTTCTCAATAATTAATAAACACACAATACTAGTCTGACTACGGGTATTAAAAAAAAATAAGTTGATTGTTTTAATTATATACTGTATATCATACATTAGATTATTTAATTCTTGAAAAACTTTGATAACTTTTTAAATAATAATTAAATTAATATTTTTTTAATTTATCAAATAAAGTTATTTAATTTAAAATTTTTTTCAACATCAAAAAAGATATTCATTTGCATTAATCTAACTATAAGCTTTGTAAAGTTGATATCAATTCCTTTTTTTTAATTGTGAAACAAATTTAAATATATATATATACTGTATATATTTAAAAAAAAAAAAAATTTTTTTTTAATTAATAAAATTAGTCTTACTTAAATAATCAATGTATTAAAACTTATTGAAGCTTGTTAAAACAAGATATTATTCTTGACTAGTAGTTGATTACTTTTTCAAAAAAATTATCAAAAAAGAAAATTTTAAGAAAAAAAAGAAGACCTGTGGGTCTATAGTACAGTGGTTAGTATTCTATAGATCAGATCACAAGATATCAGTTCAACTCCTGGTGAAGACAGCTGAATAGAATTAATACGGTATCTGACGCCATAACCTGTAATACGCTGTTTTCCATAAAAAGTTATTTCACACGCTGATCCAGTGGATGTTGGGATTGTGATCTCCAGAAAAGATGTCGTGGCATGACGATTATCCAGTAGAAGCATGATGGTCGTCAAGATCGATAACACAAAGCACTAAGCCCTTCAGGGATCATTGATGAAACTTTAACGAGTGATGTAAGTGAACCACTGGTGCTATCCCTGTGTAGGAGTTATGTCCTGCTTGATGAATAACTCCTAGATTTGGCAGCTAACATCAATTGAAAACCTGATGGATAAGTCTACTAGGAGATTCAGGAGTCACATCCCTATTGGTGAATAATCCCTAGGTTTGGTAGTATGCGTTAACCATTGGACGAAGTTCTCGAAGCATTGATTAGACAGTACACAGATGCATTTAAATCTATTTGCAGCTGCAGGAACCAAAGACGTGATTAAGAGGTGGTAAGATATAAAAGGTTATCGTGAATCCTAATAAGGAATAGAATGTCAAGGTCTAGATTAGGTTAGGTGGTTTAAAACTAGTGGTAGGATTTCCACCTCCTAAAGATCCAACCTGGAATGTGGACCCACCTATTGGGTGTAAGTTGGTATAACCGGGTAAGGCTATAGGTGATAGGGACAGGTTAACTTAGATGGACCGTTATAATCATGTAATGGGTTTAATTACTTAATAAACATGTGCTATTAGCACCTTTCACCCGAAAAAAAAAAAAAAAAAAAAAAAAAAGAATCAGTAAAAAGATATATATTTTGTTTAATAGTTTAAAAGATGATTTTAATTTAAAATTTATTATTCCATAACAAATTATTTTCAAGGTTAATTAAAAACAAAATAAGTAAGTTTCAATAATGTAGTATATACTGTAATACGTACAAAGTTAGTCGGAATCAAAATAAGATTGAACGAGATTAAGATACAATCGGCCAAAGTTAAGAAAGCATTTCAAAAAAATAATCTAATTAAGTTAAATATTGTTTGCAAAAATTATCCTGTAATAAAGTTAGTTGCATATATCAAAAAAAAAAAAAATTTTTTTTCTAATACGCTCGACGAACCACCCAATTATAAATTGCCGATCATTCGATACTTGATTATTCTTCACGCGGTGCTTATTATCTAGAATATATGTGAATTAATATTCGGAGAAAAGAAAATCGCAAGCCGATTTTTAAAAAAAAAAAATGCATGCACAAATGAAATATGCATTTTGAACTGCGCGCCGTAGTAAAGTTTATAAATTTACCATAAAAGGACAAGACTAATGTTACATTATTTACACACAATTGTTAGTATATCATTATTCGCAGCAATTGTTCTAAACTCCATGAACATCGATGGGGAAGACTAAGCTATTCATCTCGGTCAATTTATTCGGCAACTTCTTGGGCTGCGCAAATTTCTTCTTAACTCGCTTCAAATCTTGATGAATGCTGTAATCATTTAATGCTTGTGTGGTCAGTTGGAGAAGGTGACCAAAAAGGTTCTAACAATTCAATATGCAATGCCTTGTTAAATTAAATGTGAATTATTTTTAATAAAAAATGAGCACATTATTGTTACCATTTCGCGATTTTCTTTGACAAATGGGTTCAATACCCATTGTGAAATCGACATTGAGTTTGAGGGGGGGCGACCAATGCCTAATCTAAACCTGAACACGAATAATTTAAGATCACATGATATTTTTCATTAAATTTTGGGTTCTCGTAATAGAAAGCCCGTAGTATTTTATTACCTTACAAAATCTTTGCCTACCATTGACACGATACTTTCCAATCCCTTGTGGCCTTTCATCGCTGCCAAGTCTCCGCCACCTAAAGAGTGTAAAATTTCAGCATATGATCGGAAATTTCAAATCTCCCCTTGTTTCTTACCTTGAATCATCAATGTTCCCGGTAGCGTATTTAAATCATCAGCGACCACTATCAACTTTTTAAGTTCAGTTATTGCATAATGTCGCATTACCTTTTGTACTGCCAGGCCCGATTCATTCATTGCGGTAAGAGGTTTTATCAGGACAACTCTTAAGGAATTCTATTAAAAAAAAAAAACAAATTACTGTGATGGCACTTTGTTCAAATGAAAAATTGATCGGTATAGTCGTTAATACTTACCGACGATGTAGAATTTTCACTTTCGGTCGCAATAGTAAATATTGTGTCTCGCACATCAGCTAAATTGAAAAGTTTGATTCTTTTTTTTTTTAATTGTTTTGAGGCAACGAGAGACCAAAGGGGTCTGGAATACAATTGGTACCTGATAAGTCAAACCGCCTATAAAATATAGGAGGACCCTGAGCACCTTCTCCTTGGGCAAGCAGCATTGTATTTGCAAGGTAGTCGATAAATATATATCCAGCTGTTGTAGATAATAACGCGTGAAAAGAAGTGTGTTGAGTGATTTCGTACAAATGCAACAAGAAGACGCGCACAAAAATATAAATTTCGGGGAACCATTGTGACGTGTGGTGGCATATTCTGGTTCCGGATTTCCAAGGCCAACGATCACGTAATCAACCGGTCTCGACATTTTCGCAAGTCAATTTTTCTGTGATAATCAAATAATCATTTATTACGGTTTTTACCGGAAATTTCCGGTTGGCCTGCTCATGTATCACATGCAAAGTCACGTATTATACGGTTTTTATTAAATTTTTTTTCTATTAGAAATCTAATTTTAGATGTAAATGTTGGAGAAATGTTAATATTATAAAATTGCATATTAAGTGGTATTCTGATATAATCGAATCATGTCAGCATTAAGAAAATAACAAGAAGTTCTTTAAAGGTCACGCTTATTGCAAACAGATCCGTGCCATAAGAATAATTAATACCTTGTTAAATAAAGATGATTGTTGCGCAACGAGTTAATGAGTGACCAATAAAGCATTAAGAGATCTCAAGAGTGACCAAAAATACCGAAAGATAATGTTCAGTCAGCCAACTCTTCATGAAGCAAAACATAGTCGCGTGTGCTAAACCCAAATTTGATTTCATCATATGCACGTAGTTCCACATATCTCGAGGTAGGAATAGCCTTCTTATTGACAAACGTTGAGTTTGTTGATTCGAGGTCAATCAGATAAGGTTTAACATCAGTTATTTGTTCGCCAGTTTCAGGATCAGTGAAGGTCACTTGTCGAAATTGTAGGACGGCGTGCTGACTTGAACATGAAGGATGATCGATTGGTATGTCTGCAACCTAATTTTGAATTAATATAAATTATTAATGATATGAATAACGTATTTTAACATGAATATAATCTATACCAACATTTCTGTCGCGACCTAATAAATAAGCACTTTGTCGGTGAATATGAAGACAATCTATTAAAGGGTAAGGTATAGACGGAACGCCGTTTTATTCGCATTCGCTGATTTTTTAGTAGGGAACTCGATTATTTAAATAAATAACTTCAAGGTTGGAAAAATGTGAAGTAAATCCGGTCATACCCAATTGCTCTTCATTTTTAAATACATACAGTCTCCACCTTTTTGTAGGTTTTCTTGCTTCAGGCGGTTCTTGGTATTTTAATGCTACGCCGTTGAATTTATTTGATTCAGAAGCGAGCTTGCCAGATAACCCAAAATTCGGTTTCACAATATCCTGAGCTTTCTCCTCCTTAGCTTTTGAAGGAGAAGAATCCTGAGAGGTAAATCGACGAGCTGATTCCTCAAGATCGCGTTCTTTTTCCTCACGGCCGTGTACCGACGATGAACGTGACTTCGAATGTTTTCTGTGGGGTGAAAGTGTTAAGGAAAGAGAACGGTCGACGGCATTTCGCGGAGACTTCGAACGCCTTCTAGGCGAATGTGCAATAGTACCTCGTGGAGATCTTGAACGCCTTCTAGGTGAATGTGCAATAATACCTCGTGGAGATCTTGAGCGTCGTCTCGGCGGTGAGTGAGGTCGAACGCCTCTTGGAGACCACGAACGTCCTCTGGAAGAATGTATAGGTAAATGTGCCTGAGATCTACGTGGAGATTTTGAACGTCTCTTGTAAGGTGAGCGAGTTCTCGAACGCGCTAGTCTAGGAGAACGTGAGTCTTCTGAACGCTTTCTTCGTTGTGATGGAGGCGATCGTGAACTACGCCGGCCTCTTCGCTCCTCACGGGTGGAGGTATGTGAGGTGAATCTTTTGCTCTGACTTCTCCTTCTTGGAGAAACAGAATTAAAACGGCTTCCTCGTCTTCTGGGAGAATGCATAACTTTGACAAGCCAGTAGTAGAATTTTTCTATAAACTATTTATTGGCGATACCATGTGATATCGAAAATTTTTTTATCTGATTGGCTATTAAATATACTGATCGAAGATAAAAAATTCACCCACTATTATCCTTGCACCTCCTTCCTTTCTGTTCCGTTTTTTTTTTTTAGGTGAGCTATCTTGTGCGAAAGAGTAGACCAAACTGAGACAGTTAGCAAAGTACAACAGAGGTCTCGTTAACACTTGGGAGATAACCTTTTAGAAGATCTAGTTTTCAATCTACTTACGTATAGCATATTGTCGAAGTAATGACTAACCGAAATGATTGTGTAATTCTTTTCAGTAAAAATGGTCAATCCCGTTTCGAAGGTCAAGATTGTTAAGAAGCGAAACAAGCCTTTCAAAAGGCATCAATCGGATCGTTATAAATCCGTGAAGGTATGATACAACGATGGATTGTTGATTTATACAAATCGACAACTAATGCCTTTTCAACTTAAAGGAATCGTGGAGGAAACCCAAGGGTATCGACAATCGGGTCAGACGTCGATTCAGGGGCCAACTTCCGATGCCTAAGATTGGTTACGGTTCGAACAAGAAAACCCGTTATTTGATGCCTAATGGGTTCAAAAAATTTCTCGTTTCTAACGTTAGGGAATTGGAATTGCTGCTTATGCATAACAAAACGTATGCTGCTGAAATTGCCCATAATGTTAGTTCAAGGAATCGTACTGCAATACTTGAAAGGGCTCAACAGTTGAATGTCCGAGTCACAAACTCCAAGGCTCGCGTAAGAACTCAAGAAGTCGACTAAACTAGAAAAGATCCTGTGGAGATTGTTGGCTATTTTACGATAATCTTGTTCTTTTTTTTTTTTCTCCAACTTGACCTTCAATTGAGTAATATACAACGAAATAATTGGCTAATGTAATAGTCATGTGGTGATAAATGCTAGCATTCTTTTTAAAAAAAAATATTTCTCATGTTAACGCAATAATCAAATCTTTCATACATTATAACGAAAAAAAACTTTGTTATTATATGCTGCCATTGAAGAGTTTACAGAGAAATATTGAATCAAGTTCTTTGACATTAACGAAATGTTTAATGAGTTTTGTTATTTTCAGCGTGGTCGTTCTCATGGTCGGAATGTTCCCAAGGATGTCGCAAACCCTAAATTAATGGATCAAATATTTTAGAATAAAACATTTGAGTAATGTAGGAAAGGTCATTTAAATCATACCAAAATAACAGGTCCTTCTTTTTTACCACGGTATAACATCCCTATATTGTAGTAAAGAAAATGATTTCTTCCGAATTTAATAGTTTGGATTTTTATTGCATCAGGGTAAGGAAGTCAACACATACAGAACAGCGTAGTTCCTCCTATAAGCTTGCTCACGAAAACGTATCCCCTGCTAGGAGTTGGAAAATGAAAGTTCGCTCCAGCCATTTATTGACACTTGACGAGTTTTAAATAAAGATTTTGTCAAGAAAAGATTGATCGCTCGAATTCAGTTCCAGATTCATTCCGAAAATAGACATCTTGCATACTTATGCATTTAGCTTAAATAAAATACTGTAACTCGTAATATGGTATTCATTTTATCATACTCATTATAAATATTAAAAGTTTTTAAGCTTGATCTTGAATATTATTCTATAATAGACTTTAAATCAATATTTTAAAAACTTGTTACTTAAATCTATAAAAACACAAATATAATCAAGTTGCCCAATCATTAAAAATCAAAGAATTAAATCAAGATGTCTTAACAGTTGTAAAATATATATTTAACTAAATTTAAGTTTTTAATTTTTTAAAAATTTATTAATATTAAAATATTTGCAGATATCTTTTGACAAGAAAAAGTGAAATCTTTATCTATGTACATAATAGATCTGTCAAATTCTAAGGATCTGAAAAATATTATATGTAAAAAAAAAAAAAAAAAGTTATAATAATAAACAATTTTTTTTTTAACTATATTATGCATATATTTCTTGAGAATATGAACTCAAGTATATAAAAAAAAATAAAAGAGTATAATCTATTTCTATTAGATGACAACAAATATAGTACTATTGATACTATTGATAAAGTAATTACAATTTTTTTTTTTTTTTTTTTTTTTTTAACCTGCAATATGGCATGTCTTTATTGAAAAATTGAAAATAAATTTACAATATTTTACAGACTTTCATAAAGTGACTAATTCGTTTTCATACAAAAGTACTTTAAGTCAGATTTTGGGAACAATATTTCACTTCCCTAATAGATTGGTAATAACCTCTATCTACCAGAATCATTGCCAATAATTTGTTACTGTTGATTATCCAAAAATCAATGAATTGCTAAGTTAAAAGGGAAAAGGGGAAGAATGATTTGAAAAAGGAAACAATTCAAGATCCACCAAAAAAATCCAAAAATAAAAACAATCTCTTCTCAAAAGAGATCTGCCTAATTGGAATAGTCTTCTTGCTTT